ATTATGTGGCTATTTTCTAAAATACAGTCCTGATAAAAAGTTTAAGACCAGTTCAAAAATGGCAAAAAATGTTACTTTGCATGGTTGGATCTTAACAAGGTTCAAAGTCGAGCTTCAACATGCAGCAAGAAGAAATTTATTGAAAACAACTGTTAAACTGAAACATGCTGATCTACAGCTGATCAACAGTTTAGGACCAGTTGACCTTTAAAAGGCCAAATCTGTGCAACAATGTGGATCCATTGTCCTTTTCTGTCAGGTCGTCACACTGTCATGACGCTCTGATGGCAAAGGCAAAAAACCTTTTTGAACATGGTCGTGTTGTTGAACTGCATAAGCAGGGTCTCTCGCAGCGTGCCATCGCTGCTGAGGTGCACCGTGAGGTGAACAACGGAGTCTCAGGAGGTGCAGGAGCGTCAAACGGGCGCTGGCTGTGTCCAGACGTTGCAGAGAGCGTCCCTCGTGACTGAGGGCCCTCGTCTGTGTGGTAACCACTGGTTTTTAACAGGACAACGCTACAGTACACAAGGGACTTCCTCCAGGAGAATAACATCGCTCTTTTGGACCATCCTGCATCTCTGATCTAAATCCAACAGAGAACCTTTGGGGAAGTTACAAAAATGGACGCTTCATGCGGCCGTCTTGGAGAAATGCTCCTCTCACCTCATGGAAACACTTGCATCAAGGATGCCGCAACAAATTTTTGAAGTGATCAACAATAACGTTTTTGTTTTTTAGGTGTGGTCCTGAACTGTTGATCAGCTGTAAAACGGCCTGTATCAGTTTAAGCGTTGTCGTCAACGAATCGCATGCTCAAAGAAATGTTTCGTCTCTCTCCCGTTTCTTCTTGTTGAACCTTGTTTAACATCCAACCGTGCAAAATAAGACTTTTTTGCCATTTTTCAAGTGGTCTTAAACTTTTTATCGGGGGTAAAACGATGCTAAATGGTGCAACTTTGTAGGTGATGGCATCAAATCAAATGTAATATTTCGTTTATAAGCTGGGAACAGACTAGATTGAGTTTGTGCTGCGTCAGGACTGTGAGGCGCAGAGGCACAAAATATATGCAACCTTCAAGATCACTGCGATTTGAACTTGTTTGAGATCAATTTGAAACCTTTTTATCTTTAAGATATCAAACTCACAAACTTGCCTGTCGGGGTGACGACAATAGCCCATATTTTACATCATCATTTAAAAAAACAAACAAACTGTAAAGCTTACTCAGTTAATCCATATTAGAAAATATACTTTGTTAAATAATAAATTATTTGAATTACATCAAAAGGAAAGAACAACAACAAACCATATGAAATTCTTAATTGGGAAGATTTAATGGCGACGTATTCTGCCAAAATTTAAGCTCCATATTTTGCTTTATTTTGGACTCCAGTGAAGTAGCTCTGCATGATTCGCAGGTCCAAGTAATCCTTATTTATCTTCCTTATTCTGGGCCTTTGTGGAGCCGCTCGGTTCATCCACTGAAATAAACTATTTTAGCTTCTCTACCTTCGAGGCAAAGGGAGAACCAAGAGAATAAAAACTGTCTCAATCCTTTGGCACACTCGCAAAGTGATGACATCTGAGAGCCAGCAAACGAAATCAAAGCATACTGAAGAGATATTTTATATTCTATATACCTCGATGATTATTGCTAAGTGCGATTACGTTTCCTGGAACGATCGAGCGTGACGAATCCTTACAGAGAAACACATTCTGTTCCCAAGACTTAGCAGCGCCTTAATTTGCTAAGGATGCACTTAATTACAGCCGGTACGCTTCCTCCTGTGGACCATAAGCACAGCTTTCATTCAGTTAATGGGAAAGGACAGAGTGCTATGAGGAGGCTTTGTGAGTGGCTGTGAATGTTCTTGAGCCAAACAAGCCGAGGCTCTGTGTGTAGCTCGTCCCCGAGTGGCTGTGCTGCCTAATTAACTAGAGAGTGGTTTGTATTTCAAAGCCATTTGGCTCTGAAAGCAGGCTGAATGGGAAATATGTAAAGACACACAAGTACGTCACCTCATTTGTTCTTTAGATTTTGCTTTTCTACTTGCCTGGCTGTAAATCTGCAGTTCTATGTTCAGCACAAACACAAAGACAATCGACAGCTCATATTCACCAGTAAAGAAAACACGAAAGCAAAGCAACACTACAGCTGTAAGAGACGGACAGATGAGCAGGAGAGGTAATAACAGCTGCTTACAGTGGGCTCAAGTTCAATAAATTATCATTAGGGATGGTACTGATAAGATTTTCACGATTCCATTTTCGATTCTCTTTAACGATTCGATTCTTTATCGATTCTTTTTTAAAAAGGAGAACACTAAGGTCGATCAGCTCAGAACTTTGTTTTTTATCTTCTCTTTGAACAAGATAGAAATGTAGGAGTAACATGGCCTTACAAACCCAGCAGTGAGATCTTAAGAGATCCAGCCCACGGCTCTTCAATGGGGGTCACAGGGTCCCCAGGAAAACAAAATGTAAATGTAAAATAATAAAATAAATATTCTTCTGTAGCAATAACAATATAACATCAATTATTCTGTAGCAATTACACAAGAATATCCAGTAATGTCCCTGCCTACAATTAAACACATTCACTTACTGAAAATCATCTGCTGTGGCAAACGGGTGCAAGCCTTTGACCACAAACTGAGTCACTGCTCGGTGACATTCGTCTATCCTGGCCTGAAAGGAGACGCTACCGGTAGACTGCAGCGAGAACTGCCAGCATCTGAGCCAGACTCTGTCTCTCATCATGGTCACTAAATGCACAGTAATGGTTTTGTAATAAGGCAGATCGCGCTAACATAATATGCACTGTTGTTGATTATTGACCTGCCGCATTAACGGGAGAGGACGTGCAAACGTTACCGCTGCTGCTGGTTGAGATTCACGAGTCCGGAGCGGAATTAAAAACACGACATTCATTTAAGGTCATCGCGTGTTTGTGAGCAAATGCTTTTGCATGTTCGTAGTGTTTCCTCCCTTAAATGAAATATCTACTTTGCAAGTTGCCCTGTTGTCATCCGTTCTCGTAAAGTATAACCAAACTTTTGAGCGTTTGAGCCGCCGTGTTTCCTGCCAGGTAAATGACGCTCCGCAACGTGGTGACGTCATTCGGGGCGACTGGAATCGATAAGGGAATCGTTTGCAAAAATGGCAAACGATTCCAAGGAATTGAGACAGTGGGAACCGGTTCTCAACAAGAACCGGGTTTCAATACCCATCCCTAATCATCATGGGGTGAAGTTCAATGACGAGGTTCTCAAACTGCCTCAGTAATAAGGCTGCATGCAAAAATAAAATACTGTTTAATACCAATATACAGTTTCCAAATATGGGTGGTGTGACCATCAGCAAAAACCAGCTTCCTCTGAAGAATCACTTGCACTGAAACATAAAACAGACAACTGACTACTAAGTCAGTGATGGGAAATGAGGCATGATAGGAAATAAGGGTGTGGCTACAGTTAACTATACTACTGGACTCCCCCGTCCGTGCAGGTTCTCTGGAGCTATAAATTAGTGGCTTTAGATGGGTCATTTTTCTTTTCTGGCCCTAAACCGCACGTCGGCTCAATGAACTAAACTTCGAGAGTCTCTGTTATAAACTGTGTCTTCTGCACCTTAATTGAAAGTCTGGAAATATTAGTTCAATGTGCAAAACTTTTCTGTCTGTTAGGCCAAAAACTAGGGCACACCTGAAATAGATGTACTAGGTAGGCTGGGACAGAAGCAAAGAGGAGGACAAAGAGAGAAGGAAAAAGCTGTCAGCTGACAAAGTCACAGAGGCATGTGGGAGACTTTCACTCCTGTGCTTCGTACATTGGTGTAAGACTACTAATGAGGCCGTTATTCACGGAGAAATTAAGCCAATTAATGCCATAATTAGTCACACTAGTTTTTTTAATACTTGCAAAACCGAGTGTAATCTAACCCGAGCTTATGAATCCTTTCGCTGTCAGGCTTTTAATTACCCTGTTTTTTCCTCTTACATGTCATGTTAGAGGATGATTCATGACATGATGTATAGTTAGTGGCGGTGAACACACAAGGCGAGACGCTGTAAACACCTGGCACCGGCTCGGGGAATCTGTTAAACGAAGCGTTTGAGTTTTTGAGTTCGCACAGTTGTGGTTCGCAAACAGACACAAGACCTAGATTTTGGAGGACTGCACGGGAGCACGTCTGTGGGCGACTTTTGCCGCTTGTTATCTGAAGAGAGACGTGTCCACAGACGCCTGCACGTTAATTTCTGTGTGCAAAGACAGATACGGGTGAAATGTGAAGACTGAAGGGAAATAACATAACTGGACTTTTCCTTTTGCAGCATTTTTTTGCATATAAAATATTCAGGTTCCCACCAAAGATTTTGGATTTTGATTTTCCACCAACAGATAAATCGCCAGGACTGGGACAAACATATTTATAGCTACTTTTTTTTTTTTTTTTCTAAAGTGGGTTTGAAAAGCTTTTATTTTTCTTTATAAACCAGCCAAAAGTAAAAGGAAATGCAGAACAGATGAAAAGAAGTGACAGGGAGAGTCATTCAACTTGCAATCTCTGACATTCACCAGAAAAATGTGTTTTTTAAATAAAATAAGTTTCCTCAAACCAAGTTGCCAAAAATCACTGATGCCCATCAACAGCATCTGCCACATAACAGTTATTTTAAATAAATAAAGTCTTAACATAATAACTAGTAACTGCGAGTTAAAAGCCATTCATCACCATCATCTCAGCCTAGAAGCAGAATTTAAATGAGACTGCTTGAAAGCTGAGATCTAAATAAAAGACTGGTATCTATTGGTAACAAGCACTTCCTGTTTGTACCTGATGCACAACAGAGAGGCACGACTGTCTGTGGAGAATATGAATGAGAAGCTGGGTCAGTCATAGCTGTGATCCAGCTACCACAGGTGACCAAGTTCAGTTAGAGATCTTTGCACGTGCCCTGCAGCGTTACTCCATTTAAAGAGGTTTTCAAGACACTTACCCAGAAGTTGTTCTGAAATAATGCCATCTTCACTCAGAACGTCACAGCAATCTGTAAGAAAGAAGGAGAGCCGCATTAGAGAAAAGTGTGACGTCTAGATTCTCTCCCCCCCTTCTCTCCACATGCTGGAGAGGAAAATGACCCAGAGGATGTTTTGTAACTCTATAAAATGTGGAAATGTCAAAGATTCTCCTCTGCCCTGTGACAAACTATCAAAGTGTCAGCAAAACGCATGTAAAACGATTTCAGCAAAGTCCAGCTTTGTAGAAACTCTTGAGACACTTTGAGCGTAGGAAGGGAACTCCTGAGGGAGAGCAGAGAGGAGCTTCACAGATGACTTCAAAGGATAAATTCAGGGAATGAAGGGAGGAGGGGTGACACGGGAGAGATGGGGGAGGAAAGAACAGGGGAGGAGAGAGAGAGCGATCGATGGAGTGAACGAGGCAGAAGAGACCAAGGTAACCTCCACGAAAGAAGAAAAAAAAGACGTGCATGTGCTGCACTTCATCGCAGCACAGCTACTGGTGCATTTAGGTTTGAACATGCATGCAGCAAACACTCTGCTTATCTGCTCAACATTTCTGGATTGCAACAGTTTATTACAATTTATTACCGACACACAAGCCCTGTCACACATGCCAACGCACGTCTGTGCGAGCGGTCGAACAGGAAAATCAAAGATCGCACAGCATCAGAACAACATGTGACCCCCATCGCCTCAGAGCTTAAATACGACTTGTCGTGCGTCCACCGTTTTCACGAGAGGTTTATTTTTAATTTGCTGGTGACAGGAGGAAGTGCACTGCAGCAGCAGAGCAACATGCACCTTTTAAGCCCCTGCATACACAATTATATCAAAGAAACACAAACACTTTAATGCAACGTGTACACAAAGCATCCTGCCCTTTGCAAGAGAATCCATAATGGGGCAAGAGTTTCCCCAGGGCTCACGCAGGGTTCCTGTTATCTGTTATTCTGCTGACTGTGTGTGTGTGTGTGTGTGTGTGTGTGTGTGTGTGTTGACAACAGCCCTCTCCTTCTATTGGCACAGATTCAGCTCAGTCCTGGTGACCTGGCATAAGACAACAGCCACACATGCAGAAACCAACACAGCAAGCCTAGAGTGTGCACACACACACACACACACACACACACACACACACACACACACACACACACACACACACACACACACCTGAAACTCCTCACACCTCAGTAATTAGCTCAGCAGCAGGACTGGAGGCCTGCAGACAGCTTTGTGTTGGGCAGAGGAGGAGAGCCCACAGGAGGGACGGAAATACTGCGGAGCAGCAGCTGCACGACTGATATCAATGCTTAGTGTATCGATTTCCAGCGAAACTACACTTTGCCAATATTTTCATATCTGCTGTACAGTGTGGAAACCAAACAAACTCCTGAAGATGATTAATGACCGACTACTGCAGCGCTGCCACCGTAAGATTCATCATCTTTGGCCTTTAATATGGGCGGAGTCAGCGGTGGAGGTCATACACCAGCACATCAATCAATTTATTTAATAAAAACCCAACAACTTCTCGTCAGTACCTCAAATGATTATCACTGGCCAACCTCGATATTTATAAAACGCTATCCTAACCTTTCAGAGAAATGCTGGTCCTCGTTGTCAGAATATTTTACAGGTTTTAACCCACTACTAATAAATCCTGCCTGAGCAGATTTCCACGGCAGCCGTGCAGTGGGACGGCAGATCTGACCAGAGCACCAGATGGTTTTTAGGCAAGCAGAAAGGGGGGCAAAGGGAGCACACCAGATAAAAACAGACGCGTCACAAAGACACCGAAACCTGCTCGTAGATCTGAGTTAATTACATATACTTTTAGCTCTAATCCTCACAGTCCTGACGCAGCACAAAGCAGAGGCACAAAGACACCATACCCACGGTGCTGGCATGTATAGAAGTAGCTGACATCCAGCATTCTCCGCCTGGTTCCAACTAAACGTTGAGCTGAAATCAGCTCTGGGGCAAACAGAGCCCTGGGAAGAAGTGGGTCACTCTGTGACCCTGATTCCTCAAACTCCAGATCATTTTTTATTCAGGAAATAAATGTGGGCGCAGTTTTTGGTCCTGCCATGTGCAACATCTACTGACTGCTCGCACAAGCAGCGAACATGCTGAAACGCGTTATGCACCGATTAAACGCTTGACATTTGGAAACGTGAGTTGCTGTAATGTCACAGTGTGGGTGTGAGACTCACGCCTGACACTTTCTTATGACATATCGATAAAGTTTCACTGATCGCATCTACTGAATGCGTCGTGTTGAGCAGGGTGCAGCACCACCGGACCCACCCGGGATTGAAAGCTGCCGACTTGTACAAACACTTCTCAGTTTCTCTCCAGACTGTAGTGAAGCTTGGAGAAAGTAAGAAACAACCAGAAACAGAGACCGTTTGCCTTCACAGTAAAAGCTGTGCACACATTTCAAACTTTTATTGTGAAGGTGAGCAGACACCGTTTCTGGTTGGCGTCGCACTTTTCGAAGTTTCAATGCAGAATAGCGAGTAGTTTACGAGTGTCTGCAGACACGTCAGCATCTTCCGTGCAAAATACAGGCAACTCCAGGAGTCTGCTGGCAACCACAGCGATCGCAAGGTTTTCAGTGCAGCACCGTACACAAATCATTTCACACTAGTCACTGCGAGCAACCTCCAGCAACCACTCGTCAACTATTCACAGCTTGCAAAAAATTCACTGACCAGTCTTGTGTCCACTGTGGGCGGGGCCTAAACCTTAGCTTTACCTGAGCATGTCAGTAAGAAGGCAAAAGTCCTCTGTGTCCTCTCGAGTGACTTATATTACTGGATACTAGTAGGACTGTAGAGTACAGTGAGAGGAGGTACAACTGTGCACCCTCCTCAATAATGGTTCTAAACCTAAAAATCATATAAATATATAAGATCATCGCACGTTTATAACATTTCACTAATGAAAAGCATGCTGGGTAATGCTAGGCAGTCAGGTAGCACGACAGTCTGTGAACAGCTGAGCAAACTGTAGCGGCAGATCAACAGGAGACCAGAGATGGATCAAAGAAACTTGTGACAAAGACAGGAGCTGCGTCTGCTGTCTGCAAGTTCCCCGGCTTTATAAAATCAGACTCTGGCATCTCGTCCACAAACGCCAAGGGGAACGAGGCGAGGCAAATCTAACGGATGTTTTCCTGACAGAGCGACGTGTCCGTGTGAAGTTCTGCTGTGGAAACATTGACACCAACGGGCCAAATGTTTTCTGTTTAGCAACAAAAGAAGCCACCTGTCAAGGACCAACGTTGTAGTCATATGTCGAACAATCATGTGGTTTTATTTTATTTTTAATGTTGCCATTAAAGAGCGTTATTATTCCACACAGTCCTTATACATTTATAAAAGCTCAATTATGCAGAAATCATGTTAATTCTAACCTCCTTCGACTTTATGAAGCAACAGTCTTAAAAAATACTGTGATACAAATTTTCTCATAGTGTGAAACACTAAAGTTGGGCCACAGTTTCCAAGTTTTTTCCCCTCAACGAACCAAACTTTGTAGAATATGAATGTTTGGTCACTGATGCCGAGGTGATATTAGGTTAAATATTAGGCCGCTGGATCTGCAATAGTCAAACCAAACTAACAGCAATATCACGATCTGCTGCATCCAATATTTTTAATTTTGTTTGTGTTTATTATATCTTGGAGGATTGCACCAAAATATGTGGCAAAATTCAAAAATAGGCAACGGTGCTCATGTTCTCAGATTCCTTCAATCTCGTCCTGCTCTTTGGGACAATAAAGGTGGCTTAACCTCCTGAGACACGAACTCTTCCACAGCAGCAGTTTTAATTTCTCTTTGATATTTGGGCTGATTGGGACCTGATGAATGTAAAAACAAAGAATTACCAGATTTATTTTTTTACCTAATTTTTGTTTCTAAGAAAAATGAGAGCCACATATGAGGATACTCGTTTACAAGCTTGATAGAACAGTAGCAGCATAACGTCCTCGTAACTGGATATCAGGCCCATGTAGAGCAAAATTGAGTATTTTGGTCTAAATGACCCAAAATGTGATGTAATAATAATAAATTAACAAATATTTACTCTGAAAATTGGACTGATTATCCACCAATTAAAAACGCACTGAAACCGTTTACATGCCTTTTTCTGAGAAACATGCGATGAAATTATTTTAGAAATGTTTTTTTGGCAGAACTTCAAACGGCCTTTCATCGGCATCAGGTAATTCTGTTTTCTACACACCCGATCAACCCTTATTTTTGGCGTTGGCACTGCAGGCCGAAGACGAGCAATGCAGAACGGCAACACAGGCAATGCAACTAAAACTAAACACGAGGAGGAAAAATATCTTTAACAGCCACACAGGGAGGAAATGCAGCCTTATCAATTAAAAACACTCTAACCTCGTCTTCTGCCACCCTCACACTGCCTGACAACACGCAGACGGCTGCCATGAAAAATTAGGCCTTTAAAAAGCAGATGGGAAGGAATGAAATAAGGTCTCATACAGGAACAAGAACTACCCACAGCAGGATATAAATGATGCATCCTCTCCGCCCATACTAAGCATTTCAGTTTTTATTTCCTTTCCCTTTGCCAGCGATGGCTCTACTAGCAGACGTCTCTCTGACAGGAGGGAGGAGGGAAGGAGGGTAAGGGAAGGTCAACCCAAACTCCCGCCTCCTCACCACCTCCACCTGCCTTTCTCCTTCCTTTGCTTGAGAGGACAGAGGAACGAGTCCCCACGTGTCTCCTCGCGCTTTCAGACACCGGCATCCTCATCTGGCTCAAAAAGCAAAATAAAAATGGAACTGGGTTAAATGTAATGACACAGTTGAGCATAAAATAAAGATGCCCTGCTAACCTCGGAGGAGGCGCATTTGTCACAAGCTCTGGGAGCAAAGCAGGTGTTAAAAAACGAGGCAAAGGAACAGAGGAAAGGAAGAAAAAGGACACGTAGTGTGACTAAAAGATAAAACAAACGAGCCACAGCACAGAGTCGGATCGGTGAACAAACCT